TTTTTTTTTTTTTTTTTTTTTTTTTTTTTTTTTTTTTTTTTTTTGAGATAGGGTCTCACTTTGCTGCCCAGGCTGGAGTGCAGTGGTACAATCATAGCTCACTGCAACCTTGAACTTCTGGGCTCAAGTGATCCTCCTGCCTTAGCTCCCAAAGTAGCTAGGACTACAGGTACATGATACCATTACCATTCTTGGCTAGTTTTTTTTTTTTTTTTTTAAATACAGGGTCTCAATATATTGCCTAGGCTAGTCTTGAACTCCTAGTCTCAGTGATCTTCCCAAAATGCTGGGATTACAGGTGTGAGACACCATGGCCAGCCCATTGCTTTGCTTTTTAATCATGCAGAGAACCTGAGCTTATGTTCACACACATTTCCTTAGGTAATGATGAATAATCAGAAGCATTTGCTGGCACCACCCCAACACACAACAAGCCTATCAAAATTGGTCATTTTCAACTAAAAAAATAGAGCTCGTTTTCTTCTATAAATAACTTTTTCTCTGATTATAGAAGTAATATATACTCACTATAATTTGATAAGTAGAGAAAAATATTCAAAAGAAAATATGACTCACCTATAATCCTACCGTGCAACCACATATAACCAGGTAGAAGTGGTAAATTTGTATCTGATTGAGATCACATTATTTATATGTGTTTTTTTCTCCTATTTTTTCATTGCACATATCAATGCATCCTCTTAGTGACTGTATTGAATGGCCTGCTGTATTTAACTGTTTTCCTAAAAGTTGTTTCCATTTTTTTCACTTTTACATATATTTTTTAAAAAACCAAGATGGACATTCTTGAGCATAAACTGTTGTGCATACATCTAACATTGTGTTTAGAAAAAATTCTAGAAGTGGAACTATAGGGTAAGAGGGTATGAAAAGTTTTAAGACTTCTGACATATATAACCAAATGGCAACCCTAGAAAGGCTGTAGCAAGTCCCCTTTCACCTGCATATGAGCACCTAAAGTTTTCTTTCATCTTTATGTCCAGCTCAAGGACTCTCTAACACTAGTATCACCCACTGGGCACTGGCCATCTCTGTTTCAGGTCCCATAAGATCCTTCCAATTGTCCCAAAGTGGACTCCTCTTGCAATCCCAGTTGCCAGATCTGTTCTCTCCCAATTCCTTGTCCTAGCAGGTGGCATACCCCTCCCAGTGGCCGGAGCCACTGCCTTGAAGTCACACTTCCATCATGCACATTAGGATTTTTTAAAATTGGGTTTTAAAGGTCTTATGAAATAATTCCATCTAAAGAATTAAAACCATGAATCTAAAACCAGAGCCGCTCTGACTCCTTTGGCTAGTGAATAAGAAATACTAAGACAGGCTTGCTTTCCAGGAGCTTATGTGGTTTGAGGGCATAGGTCATAAAGCTCATTAAACCCAAACCTGCCTTTATTCCCAGTGGACCTGAAGCACTTTACTTATTCTGTGTATATTGTGACTGAAGGCATCTCCTTCAAATTATTGAGGACGATATGCCATGATGTCTGTGGCACATTTAGCATGATGCCCAGCACAGTACAAACACCAAAGGGCTTGCTGCTGTGGCAGCTGCTGCCAGATGCCTTCTTGATCTTCAGCATCTCACAACATTGCACACTGCCTATTCGCTTGCCAAGATTTCAGCTCTGTCTCTGCTGGCCACATCTAATACGGTCGCTATCTGACAACATGTAGGGAGTTACATACCTTGGCTCACACAAGTCCTTATCCAGGTACATTCCGCAGAGTGGATCACTACTAACAAACCTCTGCAGAAGGTTGGTGCCGGGCACTGAAAGTTCTTACCCACACCCAACAGACCACGCAGGCTTAAAGGGCTAGCTGAGTACTTGGGCCCCTCTTTTCAGAAAAAGGGGCCCAGCAGCTCTTTCTCCCCCCACATAATAATGGGTGACATCAGGTGCTTTGATTAAAAGCAACCTGGTTGTTCTTGCCACACAGCTGACTGGATGGGGGCAGTCCCTGAGCAGAAGACGCCTTTGTGCGCTGGAAGGGAAGGGGCCTGCCTCTAAGTGTCTGAGGCAAGGACTCTGCCCTACAGTAAATTCTGCCAAACTGAAGAAGGCAGTAGACCTGACCCACTCACACCTGCTTTCTGGAAGGGATATACGCTGAGTGAACAAACAGCACTCTAGACCTTACAGCTGCACTTGGTGAGGCTGGCTTGTCACATTTCCCCACCTTGGGAATCTGGGAAGTCTGGGAAGCCCTGGCTTTGCAGTCTGAGATGACTCCTAAGTGTCCCCTCAATTCCTGCATCCATACTTCTCCTGAGGTAAATCTGAATAGGCTTCTTTCCTTTTCTTTATTTGATGTTTTTCAAATTACAATCATAATACAAGCTTCATTAAAAAGTGAAGTGACACAACACAATGATAAATAAGAGCAAAGTTGATCCTCACTCCTGGCCACTATGGCAAAGATGTAACCAATAACATCAGCCTTTGTTTCCTTCATACCTATCTCCTACTCAAACACATAGATACAAATACATGTATGTAGGAGCTTTTTATGAAAATGGATCCCATTATACACATTATCTGATGACCTGCTTTTTTTTCATTTAGCTTTATATCATGGATTTCTGTATTAAAATATGTAGGCTGGGCTCAGTGGCTCAGTCTCTAATCCCAGCACTTTGGGAGGCCGAGGCGAGTGGATTGCCTGAGACTGCAGGTTTGAGACCCACCCAGGCAAATTGGTGAGACCTCGTCTCTACAATAAATCAAAAATTAGCCGGGCGTAGTAGCACACGCTTGTAGTTCAGCTGCTTGGAAGGCTAAGGCGGAAGGATCACTGGAGCCCAGCAGATCGAGGCTACAGTGGCCAGGAGCGTGCCACT